GAAGTCCTCTGGAAATCTTCAATAATTGTTGTTGATTGCAGATGTGTCTAGTAGTTCCCATTGATTTAGCTTGGAAAGCGGGGAGAATGGCGCTAGGCTTACCGCACCGTGACGTCACTGCTGGAAGATGGCAGGGGGGAGGGGCTACTATATTTGGGCAAAAATGGCTGCTCCCAGACTCAATGATCGCAACGAAAAAAATATATATATATTTTTTACCGATTAAAACTAATTTGATTAAATCACTGCGAACGTATTAGCTTTAGGTATAAATAATGATCCATTGATTATTCCTCGCTGAACAGACTTTTCCTTTAAAAATTGAGTTTTGTATAAACTCTGTGTATAAAAAATGACGGTAAAGTGTTCACAAAGAGATAATGGGGGAACATTTGTTACGGTTTTTACTGTTCACTTTAGTGAAAATCCCAATGATGATGTCATCTAATATGGTGCCATTGGACCTCCACCTGTTGCTGAACCTCCACAGACCCTCCACCTACTGGCAGCAGTAGGGAACTGCTGCAGTGACTCTTCTAAGGATCTAAACTGGAACCAGAACCCTGATGTCTCTATAGGACGGGTCAGAGGGGGCTGAGTCTCTACAGCCTGGTTTATAATCAGAAACCAGGTCGTCTGCGCGTGTCGCAGTTAACGGAGATATGCCCCGCCCCCTTCAGTATACACTCTGCTGCACCTCCCCAATATTGTAGGTGAGCACAGACAGGAGGCCTCTGATTGGTCAGTTCTCCATCCACTCTACTCTATGCGTATTTCCTGGTTGGTTCCTAATGGCAGAAACTCTGGCTGTAGCTCCGCCCACAATGCCGGGCACACCTCGGACACAGACACTGTACAGGACGCTAGTTTGTAGCTCTGAGCGACGGTCTGTTGGTTTGCACCTGAAGCCAAACACGCAGCGCCACGGCCAGTCTTTGGGGAACATTCTGGATCTTCCTGCCTCTACCTGCAGCGCAGCGAGCCTCAGCTAACGCAGCAGACATTCAAAATGGCCGTTCCCAATCAAACGGCAGCTAAATGGCAGCAACATCCCCTCCAACTGCAGAAACCCCCTCATGCATATTTACTCTGACTCCACCCTTCCACTGAATTACCGGGTCTGACCAGGAGATGGCGCTTCTCTTTAGCTCTTAATGTCCACAAATCATGACAGAAAGAATATTTAAGATGTTTAAACGGAATGGTTGGGGACTAGCCAAGGAAAAAGGGGAAACTTTGAATGGCTGCTGCTAAAAAACTTGAATGATGCTGCGTCAGCGGCGGCGAGGGAACGCCCCCATTACTGGATAATAGGTAGAAAGGAATGATGGGAAAAGATCTGATATCATTTTTATTTGCAAATATAGATTGAAGAGGCAGCCCCAAACCCCCCCCCGTCAGTGGGCTAGTTCCCACAGATCCAGATACCACCTACAGCTGTAGGTCTGCAGGTGAAGCTGAGCCTCCAGATATTTGCTTTGCTTTGTTGTTTCCTTCTATCTTCACAGCAGGAAGCTAAAGTAAGCACAACTTTCCTCTCCCTCCCTCCCTCCCTCCCTCCCTCCCTCGGCCGCACACCTCTGCACCCACCTCACACTTCTGATCCGGCTCTGCACCCGGTGAGCTGGACCCCTGGGGTTTCATTATGTGCCTCGGCTCTGAGAGCTAATTCATCACCCCTCTATTCATATCAGCTAGCCTACTTTCCCCTTCATCTACACATGCTTACTCTGCAGGGAGTACACACACACACACACACACACACACACACACACACACACACACACACACACACACACACACACACACACACACACACACACAGACAGGTGCAGAGCACGCTGTACGCTGCAGCTCCAGATTAGAAGCATGAGGCGCTGCTGCAGCTGCACGCTTCGTCCTCCACACAGAGACACGATTCTAGATTACGTAACGTAAAGGAGGGACCTGAACTAAGCAGGGGTGAAGGTGAGCATGGAGGCGTTCCCTCTATGGTGGAACGTCTGGAAGACCAAACGCCTTCACAACATCCTGATCATTGANAGCTCCTCCTGACCCCCTGAAGCTCCTCCTGACCCCCTGAAGCTCCTCCTGACCCCCTGAAGCTCCTCCTGAACTCCTGGCTTTAATCCTCCAACTGCAGCGGCTCAGAAATGAAAATAACTCTGTGTTCGGCTCCAGAAACCAGGCCGTGCCAACCGTGTTGTCAAGGGCAACGTTGTAAATGAAGAAACACGTTGCCACGGTAACAGGAGCTGCGTTTAGATGTTTTAAATAGATCCACCCCGGCTTGAGCTCGCCACGATTCACTATTTCCAAAAGGTGAAAACGCGCTCACACTAAACACCTCCCCCGACCTTCTGCTGGTTTTACTGGGATGAAGCTGGAGCTCAGGGTGGAGGAGATTCCCTGGGGTTCTCTTCCCCTGCAGACGTTCTGCTGTGATTCTCCAGAGTGAACGCTGGGTGGATGCAGCCTGCTGTCACATTCAGGAGAGAATCACGCAGAAATGTTCCCAAAGCAGAAAGGCCTTTCTGGGCATTCAGCTGCTGCGGCTCAGCGGGGGGCCACGGCACCCGTCCTCCCCTCAGCTCCGGCTCAACGTTAACCCTTTATGAATTATTACATGTTTATAACGTCATTATTAACATTATGGGACACTAGATTTAATCCATGATGATTTTTATTCATTTCTTTTTCCCATAACCACCAGTTTTAGCATAAAAACCTCAAAATGTCCTAAACCTGAACACTGCTGTTAAAAATCACCACAAACACTGACTCAGCTTTTCTTTCCTCCATCTGTGTCTCTGTGACCCGGAAAAGTCGCTCAGATTCAGAATCAAACTTCTGAAAGTTCTTTAAATCTGAAATGATTCCACCCTATTCAATAAATGATCAGTGTTTTTAATTCAGAGTAATTTTCATGTGAATGTGCTTTACTGGAGGCATCCATGTTTGTCAAAGAACACTACTGCCACCTACTGG